TGTCCTTATATTCATTCTTCATCTCTCCCTTCATGAACTTCCTTTTCTTCTCATGTCTCCGGTAGGCCACGTGCATGGCCACCAGGAGTGCTGGTGTGGATACAAAGATCAGCTGCAGTGCCCAAAGCCGGATGTGAGAGATGGGGAAGTGGTGGTCATAGCAAACATTTTTGCAGCCAGGCTGGAGTGTGTTACAGATAAAATCAGCTTGCTCATCTCCCCATACCTCCTTGGCAGCCACCACAAGGATCATGATGCGAAAAATGAAGAGGACAGTGAGCCAGATTTTACCAATACTGGTGGAGTGTTTGTTGACACCCCCCAGGATAGTCTGTAGTGTGCCCCAATCCATCCTGTTCTCTGGGAGGTTGGTGCTGGAAAAGAAAAATGAACATGACATAGAGATCACTAGTCTGGTCAGAATCTGGATAATTATCTCTGGGTCTGGGAAAGTAAGCACTTTTAAATCTCTTCCTGAGCACTGACTCTATCCTCCTCCAAAATGGTGAAGGCAAAACCAATCTGGTTTGCCACAGGATTAAATATATAGCTCCTAAATATATAAAATATATAGCTGTCCAATCTTGAACAAGTTTCTATATGTTCTCTAATAATGAGTAGCTTGTTCACTTGAGTAATTCACCCAATCTTTAGCATATAATAAATATTTGGGGTATGGGGTACACCAATGCAAAGTACTTGTTAGCTTAAAGGTACAAATGAGTTCTGACCAATCTATTGATTCTTCCACAGATTCTCCTGGGATATTCCCAACTCCACCACAGCCATTCAGGGTTCAATAGTTAGATCCACTGGTAGCAACAAGTTTTGGACTGTACCAGTGGAACTGCCCTAGTTTTGACCAACTTTACCTTAAATGCTGAGAGGCCAAGTTCAGGGGATATAATTTATGGAAGTCCACCTAATCCAGTCTTGTATCAATTTTCCCTGCAGAACCCCTTTACTTAAAATATTTCAGTTCATTTTCATAGGCTTGGGATATAGCAGTGAAAGGGTTATTACAAATGGTTATATTTACATTTGACACCCCCTGCAAATTAACATTTCACCAAGGGCCTTGATTCCTTCTTCTATATGGAGAAAAGTAGGAATAAGTACTTTTTTTTTTTTCAAGTAGAAAAGTTGCTCTGTGCATGGATTTTTGTGTACAGGTTGGTGGCCTCACTGTCACATTGGGACTGACTGGTTAGTACTCAAAGTTTAGATAAGTGTTGCAACAGCATTGTTGTTATGGGTTATGGTTAGAAGTATTTCTAAGAGACACTTTATGAAAAATGACCAAAAATTCAACCAGTGGTTCCCCATGGCTGGTCCAGTGAAGCCTATCATTGTTGTAGTTTAGAACCAAAATCTGCTGGGGCAACATACTCCTTACTGAAAGCAGGTGTGAAGGGGCCCATGGATACATCTTCCATGAGCCAGAGGCCTTCTATTTCATCCCAGGATATGAACTGTCTTCATTGATTCATAGCTACACCCTGTCTGACACAATCGACTTCTCTTCTAAACAAGATTCCATCCTCTCCACAGTCCTCATGAGTCACCTCTTTTCCACCCTTTCTAAGCTGTAATGAATCCTCCTTCTCTTACTTAAAAGCATCCTGCGCTCCTGATTTTAGGCAAGTTGCATCCTGTTTCCTGCTGGACTCTCAAGGCAGGCTCAGACTGAATGTCTCTCATTACCTACAGTTGCTGCTGTGGGACACCCAGATCTGACTGAACCTATTCAATGCCACCTTGATCAGAGGAGGCAGAAGATCCCTGGGCAAGAAAGTTAAGTCAGACTGAAATATACGGAAATGGTAAAAAAAAATTTAGCCTCATTCAGTTTGAAAGAAGAAATGTCACTAGAAAAAAAAAATGGTGATTTAGTTCAGGTTCAGCCCTGACCCATTTAAATTCAGACTATCAGAGAGGCCCTTATGTGAGTCAGTTGTCCTTTGAAAAGTCTCACAGCTCAATCTAATACTGCCTTCAACAGCAAAACCACTGAAAGAAACAGCATTCAGGTTTTAATAAAACCACCTCCTGGAATTAGATTTTCCAGTTTTTCATGGGCACTCACTAAAGGGAAAATAGGACACTCATTGAAATAAGCCTCCATATACCTGGTCAAAACTATGGAGGTGGAAGGGGAATTTGGGATTTATGCTTGGCCCACCTCTATAGTATCAAACACAGATCCTCTACATTTCTATAGAACAGTCTAGTCACCCTCAGTTGAGAAAAATACAGTTCCAAGTAACCTCTATCTTGTTGTTGTTCTAAAACCAAAGTTATAGCTACTTGTTTTTTGAGTATTGCTATCTTGACCAGGCTGGTTTCCAACTTCTGGGCTCAAGTGATCCTTCAGCCTCAGCCTTCCAAGTAGCTGAGACTACAGGTGCATGCCATTGCACCCACATTACTGCTTGCTACCTGCTTTAAAGGCCCTTTCAAGAAGAGGAATAAATTAAAATTTGAGCCCCCAATGGGATAAGAATAACAAGGTAAGATGGACAAAAAAAGCAGGGTGAAACTGTTCTTAATGGACAAACTTGTCCCAGAGCTGCTCTCCTGGCCTCCTGACTTGGGCAGTCACATGCAGGTTCCTACCTGGCCCAGGCCACTCTGCAATTGCTTGGAGCATTGCCAGAGCACGAGTCCAGGGGTTGGTTCACTTCTTTTGGGAAGGCACTAGGTGAATCACCCAGTTCCAGAAAAGGAACAAGGAGTTATTTGCCCCTTACCTTCCCACCCCTTACCTAACTGGTGGGTCCATCGAAAGGACCTGTCCCTACACAGCTCCCCACCTTCTTACAAGTGTCTTTAATTGTGACTGACTTAACCCAGTTTTAAAATGGACTCAAAGGGCACAGGGAGGCATGGCTGTCCTACACATCTCAAGATAGTCTCAGGTCCTCAAGTCTAGCTCTGAGGAATCTGGAAAAAGCTCACTGGGCAGGCTTATTTCCCACCTCCATAAGGAGCGACGGAGGGACTGATGCAAGCATCCTAAAAGGACATGTTTCTCAACTGCACACCACCTCCTCTGAGAGTAAGTGTCCTATGAGTTTTCCTTCCAGTTGGAGAACTTCTCCTGGAAGCAAAAGCTCTTGAAGTGTTAAAAAAAAAAAAAAAAAGAAAGAAAAGAAAAGCAACCAAAGTCCTGACCCATGTTTAGCCTCCGGTCTGCCCTGTCCCAGGAACTGTATTAGGTGCAAGTTCTAGGTAATCGCCTCGACTTCACCCTAGTACTTTCTTTGCAAAGAGAACGCGAGGAGGTAAAGGTCGGTTTCTTCCCGTGGAGGCTTCCTGCTTAACAAACTAAAGTGAGTTTGCTTTCTAAAAAAAAGCTTTTAGTTGATTTAAAACTTTTGGTGGTGGCAGATAAAGTAGCCAGAAGACTGTGGGGGGAATTAGCCCCTAGTAATATCGGCAACAGTCGCCACCATAGCTCTCGGGTTGGCCTGGTCCCGCTTTTCCCTCTGATACGCGCACCACGCGCCAAACTCGATTTCTAGGTCGGGGGTTGTGCCACCTCGTCCCTTTCCCCAGCGCGCCACCGCAAACCCAGCCCCGGCAGCCCCATTCAACTTCCAGAGTCCGGCCCTGGATACTCCTGCCCAGAAATGGACTCTCGCCACTTGCCTGCGGCCCCCAGGCAGCGGTCACGACTCGCTCCTGTGAACTCCTCGCCAGACCCTAGGGGTCCCTAGACCTCGGCGGTGGGGCATCCGGGCTTAGTTTCCCGGG